GGGGTGATGGTGGACGTGGGGGGTGATGGTGAGTGGGAGGGGGGGTGTGGTGAGTGGGGGGGGGTGTGTGAGTGGGGGGGGGGGGGTGGGGTGATGGTGAGTGGGGGGTTGATGGTGATGTGGGGGGGTGATGTGAGTGGGAGGGGAGTGGGGGGGGGTGATGTGAGTGGGGGGGGTGATGGTGGTGGGAGGGGGTGGGTGAGGGTGATGGTGAGGGGGGGGGGGGGGGTTGATGGTGAGTGGGGGGGGGGGTGGTGATGGTGCGTGGGGGGGGGGTGGGGATGGTGATTGGAGGGGGGGTGATGGTGAGTGGGGGTGGGTGATGGTGAATTGGCGGTGGGTGATGGTGGCTGCGTGGAGTGGGAGGGGGATGGTGAGTGGGGGGGGGGGTAGATGGTGAGTGGAGGTGGGGTGATGGTGAGTGGGGGGGGGTGATGGTGAGTGGGGGGGGGGGTGATGGTGAGTGGGGGGGGTGGTGATGGTGAGTGGGGGGGGTGATGGTGAGTGGGGGGGGGGTGATGGTGAGTGGGGGGGGTGGGTGAGTGGGGGGGGGTGGGTGAGTGGGGGGGGTGGGTGAGTGGGGGGGGGGGTGGGTGAGTGGGGGGGGTGGGTGAGTGGGGGGGGTGGGTGAGTGGGGGGGGTGGGTGAGTGGGGGGGGTGGGTGAGTGGGGGGGGTGGGTGAGTGGGGGGGGGTGGGTGAGTGGGGGGGGTGGGTGAGTGGGGGGGGGTGGGTGAGTGGGGGGGGGTGGGTGAGTGGGGGGGGTGGGTGAGTGGGGGGGGGTGGGTGAGTGGGGGGGGGTGGGTGAGTGGGGGGGGGTGGGTGAGTGGGGGGGGGTGGGTGAGTGGGGGGGGTGGGTGAGTGGGGGGGGTGGGTGAGTGGGGGGGGTGGGTGAGTGGGGGGGGGTGGGTGAGTGGGGGGGGGTGGGTGAGTGGGGGGGGGTGGGTGAGTGGGGGGGGTGGGTGAGTGGGGGGGGTGGGTGAGTGGGGGGGGTGGGTGAGTGGGGGGGGGTGGGTGAGTGGGGGGGGGTGGGTGAGTGGGGGGGGTGGGTGAGTGGGGGGGGTGGGTGAGTGGGGGGGGGTGGGTGAGTGGGGGGGGTGGGTGAGTGGGGGGGGGTGGGTGAGTGGGGGGGGGTGGGTGAGTGGGGGGGGTGGGTGAGTGGGGGGGGGTGGGTGAGTGGGGGGGGGTGGGTGAGTGGGGGGGGTGGGTGAGTGGGGGGGGTGGGTGAGTGGGGGGGGGTGGGTGAGTGGGGGGGGGTGGGTGAGTGGGGGGGGTGGGTGAGTGGGGGGGGGTGGGTGAGTGGGGGGGGGTGGGTGAGTGGGGGGGGTGGGTGAGTGGGGGGGGGTGGGTGAGTGGGGGGGGGTGGGTGAGTGGGGGGGGGTGGGTGAGTGGGGGGGGTGGGTGAGTGGGGGGGGTGGGTGAGTGGGGGGGGGTGGGTGAGTGGGGGGGGGTGGGTGAGTGGGGGGGGGTGGGTGAGTGGGGGGGGGTGGGTGAGTGGGGGGGGTGGGTGAGTGGGGGGGGGTGGGTGAGTGGGGGGGGGTGGGTGAGTGGGGGGGGGTGGGTGAGTGGGGGGGGGTGGGTGAGTGGGGGGGGGTGGGTGAGTGGGGGGGGGTGGGTGAGTGGGGGGGGTGGGTGAGTGGGGGGGGTGGGTGAGTGGGGGGGGGTGGGTGAGTGGGGGGGGTGGGTGAGTGGGGGGGGGTGGGTGAGTGGGGGGGGGTGGGTGAGTGGGGGGGGGTGGGTGAGTGGGGGGGGGTGGGTGAGTGGGGGGGGGTGGGTGAGTGGGGGGGGGTGGGTGAGTGGGGGGGGGTGGGTGAGTGGGGGGGGGTGGGTGAGTGGGGGGTGGTGGGTGAGTGGGGGGGGGGTGGGTGAGTGGGGGGGGGTGGGTGAGTGGGGGGGGGTGGGTGAGTGGGGGGGGGTGGGTGAGTGGGGGGGGGTGGGTGAGTGGGGGGGGGTGGGTGAGTGGGGGGGGTGGGTGAGTGGGGGGGGGTGGGTGAGTGGGGGGGGGTGGGTGAGTGGGGGGGGGCTGGTGAGTGGGGGGGGGTGGGTGAGTGGGGGGGGTGGGTGAGTGGGGGGGGTGGGTGAGTGGGGGGGGGTGGGTGAGTGGGGGGGGTGGGTGAGTGGGGGGGGGTGGGTGAGTGGGGGGGGGTGGGTGAGTGGGGGGGGGTGGGGGGTGGTGAGTGGGGGGGGTGGGTGAGGGGGGGGGGTGGTTGAGTGGGGGGGGTGGGTGAGTGGGGGGGGGTGGGTGAGTGGGGGGGGGTGGGTGAGTGGGGGGGGGTGGGTGAGTGGGGGGGGGGTGGGTGAGTGGGGGGGGGTGGGTGAGTGGGGGGGGGTGGGTGAGTGGGGGGGGGTGGGTGAGTGGGGGGGGGTGGGTTGAGTGGGGGGGGGTGGGTGAGTGGGGGGGGGTGGGTGAGTGGGGGGGGGTGGGTGAGTGGGGGGGGTGGGTGAGTGGGGGGGGGTGGGTGAGTGGGGGGGGGTGGGTGAGTGGGGGGGGGGTGGGTGAGTGGGGGGGGTGTGGGTGAGTGGGGTGGGGGTGGGTGAGTGGGGGGGGGTGGGTGAGTGGGGGGGGTGGGTGAGTGGGGGGTGGGGAGTGGGGGGGTGGGTGAGTGGGGGGGGTGGGTGAGTGGGGGGGGTGGGTGAGTGGGGGGGGGTGGGTGAGTGGGGGGGGGGTGGGTGAGTGGGGGGGGGTGGGTGAGTGGGGGGGGTGGGTGAGTGGGGGGGGGTGGGTGAGTGGGGGGGGGTGGGTGAGTGGGGGGGGGTGGGGAGTGGGGGGGGGTGGGTGAGTGGGTGGGGGTGGGTGAGTGGGGGGGGGGTGGGTGAGTGGGGGGGGGTGGGTGAGTGGGGGGGGGTGGGTGAGTGGGGGGGGTGGGGTGAGTGGGGGGGGTGATGGTGAGTGGGGGGGGTGATGGTGAGTGGGGGGGGGTGGGGGTGAGTGGGGGGGGTGAGTGGGGGGGGGTGATGGTGAGTGGGGGGGGTGATGGTGAGTGGGAGGGGGGGGGGGTGATGGTGATGGTGAGTGGGGGGGGGGGTGATGGTGATTGGGGGGGGGGGTGATGGTGAGTGGGGAGGGGGTGATGGTGAGTGGGGGGGGGGGTGGTGATCGTGAGTGGGGGGGGGTGATGGTGAGTGGGGGGAGGTGATGGTGAGTGGGAGGGGTGATGGTGAGTGGGGGGGGGGTGATGGTGAGTGGGGGGGGGTGATGGTGAGTGGGGGGGGGTGATGGTGAGTGGGGGGGGGTGATGGTGAGTGGGGGGGGTGATGGTGAGTGGGAGGGGGGGTGATGGTGAGTGGGGGGGGGGTGAGTGGGGGGGTGATGGTGTGAGTGGGGGTGATGGTGAGTGGGGGGGGGGTGATGGTGAGTGGGGGGGGGGGTGATGGTGAGTGGGGGGGGGGGGGTGATGGTGAGTGGGGGGGGTGATGGTGATGGTGAGTGGTAGGGGTGATGGTGAGTGGGGGGGGAGGTGATGGTGAGTGGGGGGGGGTGAGTGGGGGGGGGGGGTGATGGTGAGTGGGGGGGGGGTGATGGTGAGTGGGGGGGGGTGATGGTGAGTGGGGGGGGGTGAGTGGGGGGGGTGATGGTGAGTGGGGGGGGTGAGTGGGGGGGGGTGATGGTGAGTGGGGGGGTGATAACTCGGCCGAGGCGTTCGTGAGGACTCGTGGTGTGCACACAAGCAGCAGGGACACGCGAGCCGCAGGCGACCATGGGTCACCCCAACTCCTCCGGTGGTCATCTAAACAACAACAACAGCAGCAGCGGCAGCGGCAGCCCTTGGCTGCTGCTGCCATCGCACAAAGGCGGTGGTCACCGCATCGCGCATTTTGCAAGTGGGCGATGCGGCCGTCTGGAACGCTCTTCCTTCTGATATTAGGAAGCCACTGGAGCGATGCACTTTTAAATAATCTAGATTTAAAATTCATTTTCTTTACAACTGCTTCGTGTGTGTTAGTTTGTTGTCCTTCCTCCGCACCTCCAATTAGCACGGTTGGCTACGTACGGTGCGAAAGAAGTTCAACATACTGGGGGCAAGTGACGTTAGCACAGAATCCGATCACACACAGACACATCTATTTACATCACAAAGATCACCCCCGCCCCCATAGCATTCACAGGCTGTTGGTGCAAGTGCTGCTAGCGAGGAACCTACCTACTCCGTCCAACACACTAACAACAACAACAACACACTAACAACAACACAACAACAACACATTAACAACAACACACTAACAACAACACACAACAACACACTAACAACAACAACACACTAACAACAACACACAACAACACACTAACAACAACACACAACAACACACAACAACACACTAACAACAACACACAACAACACACAACAACACACTAACAACAACACACAACAACACACAACAACACACTACAACACAGTAACAACAACACACAACAACACACTAACAACAACACACAACAACAACAACACACTAACAACAACACACAACAACAACACACTAACAACAACACACAACAACACACTAACAACAACACACAACAACACACTAACAACAACACAACAACACACTAACAACAACAACACATTAACAACAACACACTAACAACAACACACAACAACACACTAACAACAACACACAACAACACACTAACAACACACTAACAACACACAACAACACACTAACAACAACAAACAACAACACACTAACAACAACACACTAACAACACACTAACAACAACAACACACTAACAACACACTAACAACACACTAACAACAACACACTAAAAACAACAACACACTAACAACAACACATTAACAACAACACACTAACAGCACACTAACAACAACACACTAACAACAACAACACACTAACAACACACTAACAACAACACACTAACAACACACTAACAACAACACACTACAACAGACTAACAACAACAACACACTAACAACAACACACTAACAACAACAACAACACACTAACAACAACAACACACTGACAACAACACACTGACAACAACACACTAACAACAACAACACACTAACAACAACACACTAACAACAACACACTAACAACAACACACTAACAACACCCTGACAACACACGGACACGTGGTGACAAGCGGGACATTAATAATACAATAAACAATTGGTAAACATTTAAAACTTACGGCAGAGATGGGTGGGTGGGTTATCCCCCCGTTGCGACTTTGCGGCGAGTGCCACTGAGCCCAGAGAACAGAGGCGGGACCAGCTGCAGCAGTTAGTAGCACAACCACCACCTGTAACACCACCACCACCAGTAGCACAACCACCACCTGTAACACCACCACCAGTAGCACCACCACCTGTAACACCACCACCAGTAGCACCACCACCTGTAACACCACCACCAGTAGCACAACCACCACCTGTAACACCACAACCACCACCTGTAACACCACCACCAGTAGCACAACCACCACCTGTAACACCACCACCAGAAGCACCACCACCACCTGTAACACCACCACCACCAGTAGCACAACCACCACCTGTAACACCACCACCAGTAGCACAACCACCACCTGTAACACCACCACCAGTAGCACAACCACCACCTGTAACATCACCACCAGTAGCACAACCACCACCTGTAACACCACCACCAGTAGCACAACCACCTCCTGTAACACCACCACCAGTAGCACAACCACCACCTGTAACACCACCACCAGTAGCACAACCACCACCAGTAACACCACCACCAGTAGCACAACCACCTCCTGTAACACCACCACCAGTAGCACAACCACCTCCTGTAACACCACCACCACCAGTAGCACCACCAGCACCACCACCAGCACCACCAGTAGCACAACCACCACCTGTAACACCACCACCAGTAGCACAACCACCACCTGTAACACCACCACCAGTAGCACAACCAGCACCAACACCACCACCAGTAGCACAACCACCACCTGTAACACCACAACCACCACCTGTAACACCACCACCAGTAGCACAACCACCACCTGTAACACCACCACCAGAAGCACCACCACCACCTGTAACACCACCACCACCAGTAGCACAACCACCACCTGTAACACCACCACCAGTAGCACAACCACCACCTGTAACACCACCACCAGTAGCACAACCACCACCTGTAACATCACCACCAGTAGCACAACCACCACCTGTAACACCACCACCAGTAGCACAACCACCTCCTGTAACACCACCACCAGTAGCACAACCACCACCTGTAACACCACCACCAGTAGCACAACCACCACCAGTAACACCACCACCAGTAGCACAACCACCTCCTGTAACACCACCACCAGTAGCACAACCACCACCTGTAACACCACCACCAGTAGCACAACCACCACCTGTAACACCACCACCAGTAGCACAACCACCACCTGTAACACCACCACCAGTAGCACAACCAGCACCAACACCACCACCAGTAGCACAACCACCACCTGTAACACCACCACCAGTAGCACAACCACCACCTGTAACACCACCACCGGTAGCACCACCACCACCACCAGTAGCACAACCACCACCTGTAACACCACCACCAGTAGCACAACCACCACCTGTAACACAACCACCAGTAGCACAACCACCTCCTGTAACACCACCACCACCAGTAGCACCACCAGCACCACCACCAGCACCACCAGTAGTAGGACAACCAGTAGCACCACCACCACCAGTAGCACAACCAGCACCAGTAACACCACCACCAGTAGCACAACCACCACCTGTAACACCACCACCAGTAGCACAACCACCTCCTGTAACACCACCACCACCACCAGTAGCACAACCACCTCCAGTAACACCACCACCAGTAGCACAACCACCACCAGTAGCACAACCACCACCTGTAACACCACCACCAGTAGCACAACCACCAGTAACACCACCAGCACCACCACGAGCACCACCACCAATAGCACCACCAGTAACACCACTACCAGTAGCACAACCAGTAGTACCACCACCACCAGTAGCACAACCAGCACCACTACCAGTAGCACAACCAGCACCACCACCACCAGTAGCACAACCAGCAGCACCACCATCAGTAGCACCACCACCACCAGTAACACCACCAGGAGCACCACCAGCACCACCACCAGTAGCACCACCACCACCAGTAGCACCACCACCAGTAGCACCACCACCAGTAGCACAACCAGCACCACCAGTAGCACAACCAGTAGCACCACCAGCACCACCACCAGTAGCACAACCAGCACCACCAGTAGTAGCACAACCAGTAGCACCACCAGTAGCACCACCACCACCAGTAGCACCACCAGCACCACCACCAGTAGCACCACCAGCACCACCAGTAGCACAACCAGTAGCACCACCAGTAGCACAAGCAGTAGCACCACCAGTAGCACCACCACCACCAGTAGCACCACCAGTAGCAACACCACCAGTAGTAGCACAACCACCACCAGTAGCACCACCAGCACCAACACCACCACCAGTAGCACAACCACCACCAGTAGCACCACCACTACCACCAGTAGCACCACCAGTAACACCACCAGCACCACCACCACCAGTAACACCACCACCAGTAACACCACCACCAGTAACACCACCACCAGTAGTAGCACAACTACCACCAGTAGCACCACCAGCACCACCACCAGTAGCACAACCAGTAGCACCACCAGTAGCACCACCACCAGCACCACCACCAGCACCACCACCAGTAGCACCACCACTACCAGCCGCACCAGCAGCAGCAGCACCAGGAACAGCAGCGGCAGCAGCAGCAGCACCACCAGCAGCAGCAGCACCACCAGCAGCAGCAGCACCAGCACCAGGAACAGCAGCGGCAGCAGCAGCAGCAGCACCACCAGCAGCAGCAGCGGCAGCAGCAGCAGCAGCACCACCAGCAGCAGCAGCACCAGGAACAGCAGCGGCAGTGGCGGCTCACTAGGGTTGTGAACCAGACGGCGGCAAGCGGCTCACTGGGGTTGTGAACAAGACGGCGGCAGCGGCTCCAGGCAGCACTCAGGGAGCGACGTCGCTGAGCCGCGCGCGTGCCTCGTGGACACGCAGCATGCCCATTGACAACGCACGGCAGCTGATCAGCGGTGTGCGTCACGTGGACGAGCGGGGGGGGGGGGGTTCAGCTTCGAGGAGGGGTGGAGAGAGAGGGGGGAGTAAAACAAAGGTACAAAGACAAAGATCCCCCGTATAGCCTTCACAGGCTGTTGGGGGAAAGCGCCGTCAGCGAGCAGCGCTTCTGAAGACCGCGGCGGCACGCAAAGGGCCGGGTGGCTGCATCACCACGCGCGGACGTCTTTGTCTCCCTAAGCAGCGATGTTTACACACCCGGGCCGGATCAGTGAATCGTCGCCGGTGTTTGGTCGTGAGAGATGGAATCGAACTCGGGTGGCCGGGTTCGTAGTGCAACGCGCTAACCGCTACACGACCGCTCCCCTACACTTGAGATTGCAGGGATGGATGGAGTGAGCGAGTGAGAGAGGGGAATCATCAATTGCTGATACGCCACTGCCACTCTTGCTCACACACTCAATCACACACTCACACACACACTCAATCACACACACACTCACACACTCAATCACACACTCACACACACTCAATCACACACACACTCACACACACTGAATCACACACTCACACACACTCAATCACACACACACTCACACACTCAATCACACACTCACACACACTCACACACTCAATCACACACACACTCAATCACACACACACTCACACACTCAATCACACACACATTCAATCACACACACACTCACACACAGACTCACTCACACACACACTCAATCACACACACACTCACACTCAATCACACACGCACACACTCACACACACACTCAATCACACACACACTCACACACTCAATCACACACTCAATCATACACACACTCACACACACACTCAATCGCACACTCAATCACACACACTCACACACTCAAACACTCACACTCAATCACACACACACTCAATCACACATACACTCACACACTGAATCACACACACACACTCAATCACACACACACACTCACACACAGACTCACTCACACACACACTCAATCACACACACACTCACACTCAATCACACACGCACACACTCACACACACACTCAATCACACACTCACACACACACTCAATCGCACACTCAATCACACACACTCACACACTCAAACACTCACACTCAATCACACACACACTCAATCACACATACACTCACACACTGAATCACACACACACACTCAATCACACACACACACTCAATCACTCACACACTCAATCACACACACACTCACGCACTCACACTCAATCACACACACACACTCAATCACAGACACACTCAAACAGTCACACACTCACTCAATCACACACACTCACACTCACTCAATCACACACACACTCAATCACACACACACACTCACACTCAATCACACACACACACTCAATCACAGACACACTCACACAATCACACTCACTCAATCGCACACACTCACTCACACACTCACACACACACTCAATCACACACACACACTCAATCACACACTCACTAAATCACAACAACAACCGCCATTCGCCACTAAGTGGCGGTGACGTCACCACGACGCTTGTGCCAGGCCATGTGCACCTTGAGGCCACGTGAAGTGTCGAACGCCCGCTGGCAGGTCACGGGGCAGACCCAGGTGCCACGGGTCGACTGACTGAGACGACTGAGATGAGTGGCTGATGCACCACCTGTGCCCCCTACTGTGCCAACCTGCTGTGCCGTAACCACCCGGCGCTCTGCTCGTTGTTGTGAGCGTCGCTCCTCCGCCCTCCGTTGCTGTTGGAGGGCGACTACCTCCAACTGCCCAGCAGCGTCCTTCACGAGCCTCCTCCACAGAGGCCGATCTTGACACCGCTGGTACCAGTCATCGGCAATTCCACTCAGCTCCACGTCCTCCTGTACCACATCACTCCATCTCTTCTCTAGCCCGTGCCGCGCCCGTTTAGCCCCCTCGATCCGGCCGAACAAAAGCTGTTTCGGCATGAGGTGGCTGGGCATGCGTGCTACATGACCCAGCCATCGCAGCCTTGCCTGTCGGAGCTCACCGATGGGATCTTGCCCAGATCTGTCAAGGATTTGTGAGCTCCTCACACAATCCAGCCTGGTTAAACCCAGGATGGATCGTAGGCAGGCTAGCCTAAATGATTCTAACCGGCGAAGATGTTCCATTAAGGGGGTCCACGTGT